AACTCTTCAGTGTTGCAAGATGATCTATCCGGGTTAAAAATGATTATGGTGAAGAATGTCTCAGCTGGAGCTGAGGTATATATGCATAGTTTTGTTTTCGACTATTAATCAGTTAGAATCATCCTTCATTTGCATTGATGCCATAATCTCTTTTGTAGGTATACAATACATATGGTTTGATGGGTAACGCTGCTTTACTCCATAGGTACGGATTTACAGAGCCCGATAATCCTTACGACATAGTAAACATAGATCTAGAATTAGTAACCGAATGGAGCACATCCTCATTCACAAGCCGGTACACTCGAGCTAGAGTCGTCTTATGGAGAAAACTAGGTTACACAGGATGCGAGAGCCAAAACTCTGAATACTTCGAGGTCTCTTCGACCGGAGAACCGCAAACCGAGCTTCTGATCCTCCTCTATATACTGCTCTTACCAGAAGACACATACAGTAAACTCGATCTAGCTATATCCGCAACAACAGGAGATTATCTCTCTAAAGAAGGAAGAGAGATAACAATTGGTAAACACAATTTCACGTTTGGACAAAGCGAAGGAAACGATGTTTTGTTCACAGATGGTGTTTGTGAAGCTCTTCTTGCTATTGTGGATAAGCGAGAGAGTTTATATGGATCATTTAGTTCTTTGGAAGACGACATTGTTAGGCGCGAGAGTTGTCTTCTTCCAAGAGACCGGAGATTGTATCATTCGTTAACGTTACGTGTGAGTGAGAGGAAGATTCTGGAGAAGCTTAGGAGCTACATTCGTAAAAAGGTCGGCGAGTTTGCCGGCAGAAAACGCCGGAAGAAGATGGTTTCTAAATCCTAGTTCGTCCTCAGTTTACTTCTTGAAATTTCCAATTTTCGTCCCCAGATTACCATTTTATTTTTTAATTTGGTCTACTAACATTGAATTTGTCATCCATAAGGACCATTGAATCTGAACACATTTGATGGATTCTTTTTGTTTGTTCTATTTTAGTAGAAACTTTTGAGGATAAAAACAAAGAGAGAAACGAGTTTTATCATCGTGATGAGTATATTGAGTAATCTTCCGACGGAAGCAAAAGAAAGCGTGACAAAAAGCCGGCGACTGTCAGAGTGGTAGAATCGTAAATAGTAGAGAAAGCTAGGGGTAATTTGAAAGAACAAGACACGTGGCACGTGGGAGTTAAATTGATTTATTACAGTCTTTTTACAAGAAGAATACACAGACCAGA